ACTAAAGAACTTTACGGTTGGCCTCGCCGCATAAAGCAAGGCTGGCTATTTGTCAGAAAGAAGGAGCTTTAGGATAATTTAAGGTCGTTTATCGTCGGCTGAAGTTTACGACCACTACTTAGTTTATCTAGTATTTTTCTTATTTTGTGTAATAGGAAACAGGCCTCTATTATCATTGTACGACAAGAGTTGTAGTATTTATCTATCGAATTTTGTTATATGTACCGGTTCAGTCTACTCTTGCTTGCATGATGTAAGTTAATCAATTTATACATAAAATCCCCAAAATTTGTTCATACAAATGTAGTCTCTAAACATTGAAAATAAGGTCTAGAATAGACCTCATATATACTCATATGCTGAACTCAGATTCAAAAGTCAACTCAGTAAGACCCTTATAAGGCAAACAAGACCGCATAATCCACTCTTAAACGAAAACTGCATTAACATTTTGTGAAATACGACTCTGTTCTGATGCCCATATGGTTCACAATCGATTGTGTCGTGCGGTTAAGCCTGAGATGCGTATCATGAGTTCGGTTTGTCTGCATAATGCATTGGCATAACACTTCGGAGCAATTGTTCCGTAAAATGATTCCTTTACTATTAGAGGACAATTATAGGTGATAATAGGGTAGACCACTAATTTTTATTTTAATGTCGGGTGGTAGATTATTTAAAAACATTAAGACATGTATTTTTTATTTTCTTACGGAAACGAATACTTTCGAAGATATATTGACTTGAAATGTCGCGTGACGTCACTTCTCAGTACATTTTATACTAAGAAATGACGTTTTAGCCCCTACTTCTAAACTTTGATTCGTTTTATCTAAGTATTGTTTAATTATACGACAAAATAAAAAAATACGTGTCTAATAATATTTTTTAATTACCTAACTTACGGACTAATTATATTTTTAATTTTCATACCCTGTCATCATCCCCATTAAATTGTCTTAAGTGTGAACACTGAGCACAAGATCTTTCTACCGTGATATAGATCAAGTATCTGTGGAATTTCTACAGATGACAGGGTATGAAAATAAAAATCTATTTAGTCCGTCAGTTAGGTAATGAAAACATATTAGACACGTATTTATTTAATCGGGTAAATAACAATACTTATATAAAGTATAGGAGTGGAAGGTAGCTACGTCATTTTTGAGTATAAAACGTAGACAAAAGTGACGTCACGCGCTATTTCAAATGAATATATCGTCGAAAGGATTTATTTCCGTAAGAAATTTAAAAATATATAAATATACCATATATAATATATAAATATATATAAATATACCAGACGGATATTAAAATCTACCCTATTCCGTTTCAGGTTTAGGTATCCCGAATTATATGTTCATATTTGCTTCAGACGTCGAGAAGCGAAATTTTTATCGTGGAGTAAGTCACGAGAAAGAACTTACATATTTTCTATGATATGTTCTCCACATACATATGTATGCATAACTCGTAAAAAATATTCAGACTTGGAAAATAATATTATCTATCTGAAAATGCAAATGTTTCGTCCCCATGGACACCTAATGGATTCGCCTCGGCGTGCCAAAAGGCGGTTCTCGTAAATGCGCTTTTCCGATCGTTATTTTATGTTTTACTATCTTTTTCTTTTGGATCCGTCCGCTTCATTAGAACCGAGCAGGCGCGGGTTTCTCACAAGTAAAACCAATACCGGAAATTGAGAAATAAAGTTGGAAATTAGTATATGTTTCTTTTTATTTCGATGTTAAATGCGGAAAATTTGCTTTTAAGTAGATACTGGCATTGTTTTATAAATACTCTATAAGCTTAAAATGACCACTAAAATGAAATCGACACTTTTCGATAATTACTTAAATAACTTCATTTAAACATTTGTCCAAAATAAAGTATTTATCCAATAATTTGAAGCCCATGACCTATTTACAACTTTAGCATCATCCTAATATTGTCCTTCTACATTGATTGCACAGTTGGTGTGGTGGATAGACAACTGGCTGCCACAACGTGTAGAGGGTTCGATTCCTGCACAGAGCAACATTTTGTGTGTTAATTATTATGTTTCCGGCTTACTCACGTGCAGCGTGACAGTTGCCGCGTCACAGGTCGCGGGTCGAGGGCCGCTGAATGCTTCTCATGAATATGAGCTTCTAGCATGGCTTGAAACTAGTCGAGTTCCTCGTCAGACAGTTACGTGAACATAATAATTGATTTAGTATGTCTCGCGAAAGTTTTAATAAAAACTTTTTGTGTGATCCACAAATTGTAGTTTCGGGTCTGAGTGTCATGTGATTGTGAACTTGTATGTTTGGAAACGCACCCACGACACAGGAGAAAATCCTAGTGTACAATTCTAAAAATTACTACACGCATAATTACCAACAAGTCTTTAAAGTACTTCAAACTAAATCCGTAACATAATATTCTTCGTAGCAAAATCTGAAAACGAATGCACGCGACCAGTATTTTATTTCAGTACAACAATATTTGTAAATTCATTCACGTACGGAACTAACTACTTCTTTGTGTAACAGTATTATAGTCAATTTAATTCCAATTTTATTACGGTACCGGCCAAAGTTCTTCAACTATAAGTATTAATTTTACTATTATGAAGACCCTTTTAACTCCATACGGTGGTGTAATAACTGTAGTTATAGTATGTAGTACTAACTTTTAATTATATTCAATGGGGATGATGACAGGGTATGAAAATTAAAATTCTTCTTAGGTAATGAAAAAATATTCGACACGTATTTTTTATTTTGTCGTATAATAAATAAAATACTTAGATAAAACGAATCAAAGTTTAGGGATGGGAGCTCAAAACGTCATTTCTACGTATAAAATGTACATAGAAGTGACGTCACGCGACATTTCAAATCAATACATCGTCGAAAGTATTCGTTTTTGTAAGAAAATAAAAAATACATATCTAATGATTTAAACTAATCTACCAGACGGACATTAAAATAAAAATTAGGCATCTACCGTATTGTAATTTAGAATTTAGACTATCTTCTGGCAGCATATATTGCCTAGGATATAAAGCCTATACGTTATTTAGGTCAAAATTGATTTCTAATCCAAATATTTAAATTACATTTGACTGAAAAAGAAATTAAACATATAAATTATTATAATAAATACAAAACATAATCAATGTGTCCTCTCAAATGTAAAAAGAAATTTGTACCCATAATATTATGTTTGTGTTTGACAATACCAGCTGATATATTTTATTGGAAACGTATTGAAAATCAAATTGTGAGTGACACGGTTATCAATGTGTAAATACTCGCGTAGTCGACGCATGTCATGTGCGTACGATGTACCAAATAAAATTTTATTGTATTGTCAATTCTGAATATATTTTATTGAAAGGAAATGCCCTTCAAACGGTTATACTGTTTAAAATTGACAGACAAATTAAAAATAATGATGATTGGTATGCTACGCCGTAGGCTGTCTACGCCGTAGCCACTCTACGCCGTAGACAGTAGACATTCGAATAGACATAATACATTAGACTATTAATGATGCAGAACGCATAGTACATACATGTATAATGAATACTTAGTTTATATGTTACGGCGCCAATAAGACTGTTTTCTACAAAAAACGATCGCCGTTAATCTAGAAACAAATATTTCTTTAAACGTTGTACACATTTACACCCTTTGTTAGTTTATATTCAATGTTATTTTTGGCGCCAAAATAAATGTATATTTAGTACTTTTTCTTTTCACGATGGATGTTTGGCAATGGTATAAATCGGAAGCGCGGGAGCGTAAAAAGGATTTTTGTGTATGCAAATATTTATGTAACCAACAGTTAGAAAAACAAGTGTGTTCTCGTTTGAATACATTCTGATTTTATCCTTGTACTCGTATTTTGTGAACAAATATAAATAACCATTGGCATGTGATTGATTCTTCGTTCTAGTTATTTTGTATTTTACTTTAGTTTCTACATACATTACAACCAATTGATAATGAGTGATGATCACAAAAGGACTGATTAAAATAGCATTTAATTAAACATAATGCTCTTAACTCATGTCCAGGTCTCTTATCAAATTAATGGCATTCCGTCGCGACCACGAATTTAATTAGTAGATAATTTGAAATCGATTATCGGTTTATAATTAAAATACGAGCGCAGCACTAATTTGGCGCACGGTGACTTGGCGAATAACTCTCGCCAAGTATTTACCGAGCGGCCAAGCTGCCAATCCTTGCCAAGGACCTTTGCCAAGCATCTTATAATTGTCGGGAGTTTCGCCGAAGCGAGCGATTGTAAACATCTGGTCCCCAAGCCTCGTTCGCGTAATTTCACGAATATTGTTTTTTTTTTGTTTGAACTTTGGAGACAATTCCCGGGAGCGGAGTTACTAATGGGTTGTTACTTTTTACTACAGTCATAAGGAAGCCGAGGTTAACTGCATACGAACGTCTAATTATTATAGTCCGCTATCTTCCTTTCTCACATCTACGTAATGTCTAAGAAATTTCATGAATTTAAACATAGTATTTTATATCATTATTTCGTAAAGTAAGTATTCTAAAACTGCTTCTAATGATATACAACCTACATTCTAGCAGGTATCCTAATAACGGTAAACCAAAACTTTTAAATCAAAACATGATCCCAAATTTACCAGGACCCGCAATCCCCTGTTTAATATTTTCCATTTTCCAATACACGGGCCATCGATGACTTTAATCAGGCTTACTGTTAAGCCCCGATGCCTCCGCTACATGACGTGACCGGACTGAAAATAATCCCCAAAAACGCATTATGACACTTTCCGGCCACAAACTTTACACCAGTGTAGGTACTCGGTCGAAACGAACGCTTGTTATTTGCATCTTAAACGGGAAAAGCTATTAAATATGTATAATACTCAACCAGAATTCTCCAAACTTTCATATTATTTATGCTACTTCCTAAAAAAATAGTTCAACATCTATACTTGTTACTTAAAATTTATTACATACCAGCGAATAAAGTTTGAATCCGTTACATAATAGTAAAACAAAAAGTTCATAAACCATTAACAAAAATATGGTAAAATAGTTCGGGCACAGGACTGTATCGCACAATTTATTTTAATTCTAAATATATATTGAGATCGATTTTGGAAGCAATTCGCGGGACGAGGCTGGCGATGTAGCCGGCACGCCTCGGGGCGCGAGCGCGCGCTCCCACTGACGGGTAGATACTGGATGCTGGCTTTGCCGCAGGAGCCTGCGTCACAACCACTGGACCTCGACACCTTTTTGTGGGACCCTAATTAATAACCAGGCGTGACGCCGACTCGCTCGACATAAAATCTCTTTCGACACTGAGCCGAGGGCGGTCGTTTTATCGCGAATTGTTAATGAAAGCGATTCTTGACGGCATCTACAAATAGCCGGCTCGTAACTCAGGGCGCGCCGTCGAACGACAACCGCCTCGCGGCATGCCGCCGACTCCTTTTGTACACTAATTTATGTAAAATTGCACGGTGCCGACATTTTTACACGACTTACTGAATTACAAGTCGACTTTATGCGTTGTGTTAAATTTCTTTAACCGCTTCCGCCTTTTTACTATTGCGCCTTTTTACTGTTTGTTCTATTTTTTTAATTTATGACGACCATTTATTTTTCTTGTAATTTTCCTGTCCTGAGTTCCGACACATTTTATACTTTTGTGTCAAATTAACGTCAAGAAAGTGAAGTATTTCTTTTTCGCTTTGTAGCATAACGAGCCTAACATTTAAATATTCAGCTTTTTAATTAATGTTAAGAGTTCCCTCAGTGTAACGTGCTTAACTTATGAGCGGCGTTTTACTTTTACGTTTGACCAAAAAAATACTTTCGTGTAATGAATCACAAACACACGAAGCGAAAGTAAACAAATGAGAAACGAAATATAATCTAAATTGAAATGAAAATGAATTCTGACTGGTTTTACGTAAAAACATGAAGTGACGCCCGTCGTCGGCTTTAGGTACTTATAACATATTATAATTACTATTCTGCTGCATTGCCAAATCTCGCGATGAGTTACAAATTGTTTGCCCTATAACTTGCTTCGCCTCCCGATGTCCGCAATAGTTAATAAGTTATTTTCTTGTTGCTTACTTGTTAATATTAATTATCTAGATTAGTAAAGAGAATATCTAGTAGGACAAAACATTAACTTCTGGGATAATTTATTATTAATTTATTATTACACTTATATTTTTATTTCTTATTTATTTATTTACACTTTTTATACATTATACAATGGCGGACTTAATGTCTGATATAATTATCTAATAGTTAGGGGTAAAAGTTTAACATTGTGTGAGTTTTTTTAATAATTTGATACGATTTATAATTTGATAAATATATATCATTATACATATCACACAATACATACTAATTAAATATTATGAAGAAATATTGCACACATAATACTTCTGTTGATTATTTTGTATTTAAATATAAAAACAATTTTTCTTAAGGGGGAATATCATCGCATGACTTCTCCCGCTTGGGTGAGGCGAGAGGGAGTGTCAGACTTATTAACTAAAAACCACCCCGTACCTACGCACTCCTGTACTTCGAGCCGGAGCCCCGGTAACCCGTTAGGTTGGGCCCCATCCGTGGAGGTCTGATAGCTTTATGAGGCGCGCGCGGAACGCGACGCGCCGCGCCGTACGGTCGGCTCTGGTTATGGCCGGGCGGCGAGCCACCCATGCTCGCCATCCGCAGGCCCGCGCTTACAGTGGCCTGAGATCGTCCCGCGATCCCCAAGGCCCGAAGTGTCTTTCGCGACGGCTGGGTTGTAAGGAGGCAGCGCATTGCTGCCTCATGCGCCCCGCCTCCTCCTTAGCTAGCATGACTGAAATTTATGAACAGTACGAACATTAAACAAACATTAATGTAAGTAAATAAAGCAGGATTTACTTATCAAAACATCTAAAATAACAATTACCTTAAAATTTATTTTCGATATCAATGTTTTATTCAATTTGAACTTAATTTAAACATTGATCTCAATCACAACTTACAAGTCAAAGGATTTACAAAGTTAGTAATGTAACCTCACTCAATTTACTCGTTCCTAACTTAGTAAGTTAAAGCTAGTTCACTTAGGTCAAACCTAGCTAGCGATTCAAATCTAATTGACTTGAAAATTCTATTCCTTTTTCAATATTGACTTTGAACTAGTGTTTAATCGAACAGAATATGCAATAAGACAACATTACACGTCTTTAAATATAAAAAAAATCGATTAGTGAATGCAATTTGTACACTAATAGACTTCTTTAGAATGTGATTCCTCTTCCGTGGTTGAAGAGCCCTTTACCGATCTCTTTGAGACAATTACATATGATAATGATGAGGCTAATAAAATATTTAATTTACCATTTTATGTACCAATCTTTCAATTAGTAGGACACATTGTCATGTCATAACATGAATATTTCTAACCCTTTATCTTATATCATATACTATTATATAAAGCGAAAGAGTTTGCTTTTTTGTTGGTTTGTTTGAACGCGCTAATCTCTGTAACTACAAGTCTAATTTGAATATTTATTTTTGTGTTGCATAGCGCATTTATCAATGATGGCTATAGGCTATAAAACATCACGCTACGACCAATTGGAGCTGAGCAGAGCGTGTGACACCGCGCTGAAGTAGCTAGTTAACTTATAAGAACAACGAAGAAAAGGACAATATAATTCAATGATTCTTTTATATACACGTTACACCAAGTGACTTAAAATCCCTCTTTTTTTAAAGTCGGTTAATTAGTGTACTAAAACTTTCACCTGAATGTAACAAACACTATTCTGAAAACTGCATTAAAATCGGGTTAGCTAATCACGAGATAATCATACACACAACCATAAATACATATGTACATACATATAGGTCTAACTGAGCACCTCCTTCTTTGTTGAAGTCGGTTAAAAACTTTTGTACTCTTCAGGAACATCTCTATATTTTTTTTATGGAATAGGAGGCAAACGAGCAGACGGATCACCTGATGGTAAGCGATCAGCGCCGCCCATGAACACCTACAACACCAGAGGAATCACAAGTGCATTGCCGGCCTTATTATTACGTTTGGCACATACATATGCAGGTATATAAATGTAAATGGAAAACAATTAATTATGGAGGTACTTGTAAAGCCACGTTTCACAGACTAGTCAATTCCATGAAATGCGTATTAGTAAAGCAAGCGCAAGTCAATGTTCATGATTAATTAGTTCTGATTTTACTAACAAATTGGTCCTGTCACACGTAACAGAGAGTAATGAGAACCTCTTTAGTGTACTATTGATGATTAATCAAGTATTAATTAGAATTTACATGTTAAAAGGCTGATATAGAATTATCTATAGCTTGGAGTGTGTCGTGATGGCCCGGAGATTTAAGACGCGTGGTTCTCATGAATGAGGGTGCGAAATCTACCAACGGCAAGTACCAATGTGACTATTTTCGAGTTATAAGTACTTTATAAGATTATTTAGACACAAGATGGCGCTGCAGATGCCTATTATTATATTAAATACAGGACAACGTCTGTCGAGGCCGCTAGTATAAATATATAAATATATGTATTTATGTCGGAGCTGGTCATGAGTTTGGGCGCTAAATGGAACGCAAGCGCGCTACCTAGCGGATTTCTGGTGCGCTTAGACAGAGTTGTGGCGTCAGAGTCACACTCGGTGGAGCTCACTTGAGTTCGAGTCACCACCGAGTGAAGACGTGGTCACAGAACTGCCCTACGTTTCGCTTAGTGCCCAGTCGCTGTACCTTGTGGTTATAAGAAACTCGGTGATGAATTCTAAACGCTTTTCCTATTTACACGACACTCATATCCGCCCTCATTATGTCTCAGCAATCGGAACATAATCATGCCTACTCCGACATCAGAAGAGGGATGAGTGTTGGCGACTTCGACATTTAACTCAAAGGTGACTGACTGACTGACTGACGGACTCACATAGTGATCTATCAACGCACAGCCTAAACCACTGGATGGATCGGGCTGAAATTCGGCATGTAGGAAGATGTTATGACGCAGGCGTCCGATGCGAAAGGATTTTGATCATTTCCACCCCTAAGGGGTTAAAATAGGGGATGAAAGTTTATATGAAACTCTGTTAGTTTTAAACCGATCGGATTGAAATTCGGCATGCAGGTAGAACCTTGATAAATATACATTCAAAAACCCAAATTCTGCCAGAAGTCATAATTATACGCGGACCAAGTCACGGGCAACAGCTAGTTGAAAATATATCACCTCCTGCCACACACACACATACATACATATACCTAGTGGTAAGCGTACCATATTTTCTTATAAGATCTATACGGATAAAATGTTCGAGTATATGTGTTTTGTTACCCACACTCCGGATATTAAATCTTCGTTATTACCTGTTTAAGCTACCCATAAGCTACTTTCATCGCGCTGTTGATATATAAGGGTTCTTCAAGATGTATTTTACACGTTTTCAGTCAGATTAATATTTGGGTACATCTGTAATCCTTACTTATGTGCGTGCGAGTTTAAGTGGGGATATTTGAAGATGATTTGCCTCGTGTTTATTTACTTTTCGACCGGAATTCTCTTGGAGGAAGGATAGATATTCGTTTGATTTACAACGGAAAAGAACGAAAACGAAAGACGCAATAGAAAAGAGAAGAGTAAATTGAAATATTATTTATTGTACACCACATCTTATTATACAAGGTCTAAATAATAACATAACATAACACCTTTTATCCCCGAAGGGGTAGGCAAAGGTGTACATTACGGCACTTAATGCCACTGTACAATTTAACACCCACTTTTCACTATTTATGTTATGAGTCCCATGTAATAATAAGCCTATTGCCATATAAAGGGCACGATTCCAGACTCCGTGCTACTACTGAAATTTTTTGAAAAAACCCAGTAATACTTTGCCCGACTCGGGAATAGAACCCAAGACCCGACATTCGGCCAACGAGGCAGTCTAAATAATAACGTAGGTATAACGTAATTTTTGAGTACTATACTTTTTTAAAGACATTGATGCTGCATACAACAAAAACCATTACAAAATTTATAACATCTGAAATATTTCCAAGATCATCACAAAGTTGACAATTTATATATTCAAATATAATGAAGTTGGTCCACAAGCTGAAGCTTGC